CTGTATTAAAAGGTGTTCTACCAGGGTGCCTCATCAGTACGTACCATACAAGAATAACTAATATTTTCACCAGGTTACAAAATAAACACACGAAAGTAAAATTATATATATAATATGTGTAATAATATATACTCGTATATCTCAAGTAATATAATGGCACACTAAGATAATTATAAGACCATCTTAGTGTGGTCTTATAATTATCACACTAAGGTAATAGAGTGATAATTATATCACATTTCATGACCTTTTCCTTACATCTGCTGCCCTTACTATCTCGTCCCTGGTCATTTCCCTCTGAAGATATACCTCTTTGTAATTCCTTGCATATCTCGGTTTGCTCTTCTTTACTAGGATGTCCTCTTTGATGACCTCGCTCTTGAATACTACCTTGATCACTCTCTTTTTGTCTCTGTTGTACTGGCCAATCCGGAAAAACTATTCTATATCTCGTTCAGCCCCTTCCATTCCTATTTTCTTTAATATCCCTGCCACTGCAGCTTTGTCTTTAGTCCTCCATTCCTCCCTTGTGGTGCCCTGTTGTTCCTTGACACCTACCACTACTACAGCTCTTTTCCTTTCCATTAGCTGGCTTGTGCATTTAGCTGCCTCCTGTGAGGTTACTGCTTTCATTACAACTTCCTTGACTGTGCACATAGCATCTGGGCTCTTCAGTATTTCAGAAAATGTTGGACCAATTGTAGGGGTCCCGGCCATTGCTACACCTCTTGGTACCTGGGGGCTGTGTAACACCACCAATTGTAACACCACTCTAAAATGGAACCCCACTAATAATGTAAACACTACTTATCCTGAGTAACACTTCCCCATCGGTTGCACTTGGTAACACTGTTATGAGCTGACATATGATGGTTACACCGGGACTAAAAAGTACACTGCCAACAAGGAGATGCTAACACAGGATGAAATACGCTGCCACCATCTGCAGAGGAGGGCCTGTTTTAGGCTTTTTATCTCCGTTTGTGCTGCACTTAGTTCTATCTGGAGCTTACATATAGTTTCCCTCAGGTCCTTCAATTCTCCACTGATTTCCATCCATGCCTTAGCAATCATCTCCATGTGTGACTTGTCCAGTCCCTCTCCTCCAGCTTTGTTCTGTTGTCTTACCATCCCGCTTGACCTGTGTGTGTGTGTGTGTGTTTACTAGTTGTGTTTACTAGTTGTGTTTTTGCGGGGGTTGAGCTTTGCTCTTTCGGCCCGCCTCTCAACTGTCAATCAACTGTTTACTAACTACTATTTTTTTTTTTCCCACACACACACCAGGAAGCAGCCCGTGACAGCTGACTAACTCCCAGGTACCTATTAACTGCTAGGTAACAGGGGCCCTTAGGGTGAAAGAAACTTTGCCCATTTGTTTCTGCCTCGTGCGGGAATCGAACCCGCGCCACAGAATTACGAGTCCTGCGCGCTATCCACCAGGCTACGAGGCCCCTGTACCACTGCATTGTGTGTGTGTGTGTGTGTGTGTGTGTGTGTGTGTGTGTGTGTGTGTGTGTGTGTGTGTTTATTGTGGGGCTAACCGGTGGAGGGATGGAGGGAGAAGTGTTGTATTCCTTGTGCACAGTAAGTGTTGTATTGCTCCTCACAACACCCCGCTCTCGCACCCTCCTCACAACACCCCGCTCTCTCACCCTCCTCACAACACCCTCCTCACAACACCCCGCTCTCTCACCCTCCTCACAACACCCTCCTCACAACACCCGCCTCACAACACCCGCCTCACAACACCCGCCTCACAACACCCGCCTCACAACACCCGCCTCACAACACCCGCCTCACAACACCCGCCTCACAACACCCGCCTCACAACACCCCGCTCTCTCACCCTCCTCACAACACCCGCCTCACAACACCCGCCTCACAACACCCGCCTCACAACACCCGCCTCACAACACCCGCCTCACAACACCCGCCTCACAACACCCGCCTCACAACACCCGCCTCACAACACCCTCCTCACAACACCCTCCTCACAACACCCTCCTCACAACACCCTCCTCACAACACCCGCCTCACAACACCCGCCTCACAACACCCGCCTCACAACACCCGCCTCACAACACCCTCCTCACAACACCCGCCTCACAACACCCGCCTCACAACACCCGCCTCACAACACCCCGCTCTCTCACCCTCCTCACAACACCCCGCTCTCTCACCCTCCTCACAACACCCTCCTCACAACACCCTCCTCACAACACCCTCCTCACAACACCCGCCTCACAACACCCGCCTCACAACACCCTCCTCACAACACCCGCCTCACAACACCCGCCTCACAACACCCGCCTCACAACACCCGCCTCACAACACCCTCCTCACAACACCCTCCTCACAACTCCCTCCTCACAACACCCGCCTCACAACACCCGCCTCACAACACCCGCCTCACAACACCCGCCTCACAACACCCTCCTCACAACACCCGCCTCACAACACCCTCCTCACAACACCCGCCTCACAACACCCGCCTCACAACACCCGCCTCACAACACCCTCCTCACAACACCCTCCTCACAACACCCGCCTCACAACACCCGCCTCACAACACCCGCCTCACAACACCCCGCTCTCTCACCCTCCTCACAACACCCCGCTCTCTCACCCTCCTCACAACACCCTCCTCACAACACCCGCCTCACAACACCCGCCTCACAACACCCGCCTCACAACACCCGCCTCACAACACCCGCCTCACAACACCCGCCTCACAACACCCGCCTCACAACACCCGCCTCACAACACCCTCCTCACAACTCCCTCCTCACAACACCCGCCTCACAACACCCCGCTCTCTCACCCTCTTCACAACACCCGCTCTCACCCTCCTCACACACCCTCCTCACAACACCCTCCTCACAACACCCGCCTCACAACACCCGCCTCACAACACCCGCCTCACAACACCCTCCTCACAACTGTTTGTTTCTTGTCTCACTTTCTGAAAAATATGTAAAATAAAAATGAAACTGAATTTAAATTAGATTTTCTCAAGGACTTATTGTAAAATTATTTTGAAGTTATTGCACTCAAATGTGAGCGTTAATTGGGGGGTTGCTTGAATGGTCTGAACAGCACTTATGAGGTGTTTGAGTGGTGCCGTGAACGAGGCTTCTGGCACGGTCTTACAATAGGCTCAGTACAATCCCAGGTTGTGGGACCTTTACCGTGTCGTGGATCAGGGGGTAAGGTACGCAGCTGGGAGTGCTCAGCTCGCTGGTTCGACTCCATGCATTATTCCAACTGATTTTCTCATTAAATATAGTATTAACAAGAACAGGAAATTGGATAACCAAATGGGTTTGTTCTTTTTCCGTATTTGAAGTCTTCTGCTAAAGATAAAAACGGCTCCATGAATTTAGGACAACTAATAAAAATATACGTAGATGTAGCCCGTAGATGTAGCCTGTATGTGTAGACCGTAGGTGTAGCCCGTATGTGAAGCTCGTAGGTGTGGCCCATATGTGAAGCTCGTAGGTGTAGCCCGTATGTGAAGCTCGTAGGTGTAGCCCATATGTGAAGCTCGTAGGTGTAGCCCATATGTGAAGCTCGTAGGTGTAGCCCATATGTGAAGCTCGTAGGTGTAGCCCTATGTGAAGCTCGTAGGTGTAGCCCGTATGTGAAGCTCGTAGGTGTAGCCCATATGTGAAGCTCGTAGGTGTAGCCCGTATGTGAAGCTCGTAGGTGTAGCCCGTATGTGAAGCTCGTAGGTGTAGCCCGTATGTGAAGCTCGTAGGTGTAGCCCATATGTGAAGCTCGTAGGTGTAGCCCATATGTGAAGCTCGTAGGTGTAGCCCATATGTGAAGCTCGTAGGTGTAGCCCATATGTGAAGCTCGTAGGTGTAGCCTGTATGTGAAGCTCGTAGGTGTAGCCCGTATGTGAAGCTCGTAGGTGTAGCCTGTATGTGAAGCTCGTATGTGTAGAACGTAGGTGTAGCCCGTATGTGAAGCTCGTATGTGAAGCTCGTAGGTGTAGCCCGTATGTGAAGCTCGTAGGTGTAGACCGTATGTGAAGCTCGTAGGTGTAGCCCGTATGTGAAGCTCGTATGTGAAGCTCGTAGGTGTAGCCCGTATGTGAAGCTCGTAGGTGTAGCCCGTATGTGAAGCTCGTAGGTGAAGCCCGTATGTGAAGCTCGTAGGTGTAGCCCATATGTGAAGCTCGTAGGTGTAGTCCATATGTGAAGCTCGTAGGTGTAGCCCGTATGTGAAGCTCGTAGGTGTAGCTCGTATGTAGAAGCTCGTAGGTGTAGCCCATATGTGAAGCTCGTAGGTGTAGTCCATATGTGAAGCTCGTAGGTGTAGCCCGTATGTGAAGCTCGTAGGTGTAGCCCGTATGTGAAGCTCGTAGGTGTAGCCCGTATGTGAAGCTCGTAGGTGTAGCCCGTATGTGAAGCTCGTAGGTGTAGCCCGTATGTGAAGCTCGTAGGTGTAGCCCGTATGTGAAGCTCGTAGGTGTAGCCCGTATGTGAAGCTCGTAGGTGTAGCCCGTATGTGAAGCTCGTAGGTGTAGCTCGTATGTGTAGCCCGTATGTGAAGCTCGTAGGTGTAGCCCATATGTGAAGCTCGTAGGTGTAGCCTGTATGTGAAGCTCGTATGTGTAGAACGTAGGTATAGCCCGTAGGTGTAGCCCGTATGTGAAGCTCGTATGTGTAGCCCGTGTGTGAAGCTCGTAGGTGTAGCCCATATGTGAAGCTCGTAGGTGTAGCCTGTATGTGAAGCTCGTATGTGTAGACCGTAGGTATAGCCCGTAGGTGTAGCCCGTATGTGAAGCTCGTATGTGTAGCCCGTATGTGAAGCTCGTAGGTATAGCCCGTATGTGAAGCTCGTAGGTGTAGCCCGTATGTGAAGCTCGTAGGTGTAGTCCATATGTGAAGCTCGTAGGTGTAGCCCATATGTGAAGCTCGTAGGTGTAGCTCGTATGAGAAGCTCGTAGGTGTAGCCCATATGTGAAGCTCGTAGGTGTAGCCCATATGTGAAGCTCATAGGTGTAGCTCATATGTGAAGCTCGTAGGTGTAGCCCGTATGTGAAGCTCGTAGGTGTAGCCCATATGTGAAGCTCGTAGGTGTAGCCTGTATGTGAAGCTCGTAGGTGTAGCCCGTATGTGAAGCTCGTAGGTGTAGCCCGTATGTGAAGCTCGTAGGTGTAGCCCATATGTGAAGCTCGTAGGTGTAGCCCGTATGTGAAGCTCGTATGTGAAGCTCGTAGGTGTAGCCCGTATGTGAAGCTCGTAGGTGTAGCCCGTATGTGAAGCTCGTAGGTGTAGCCCGTATGTGAAGCTCGTAGGTGTAGCCCGTATGTGAAGCTCGTATGTGAAGCTCGTAGGTGTAGCCCGTATGTGAAGCTCGTAGGTGTAGCCCGTATGTGAAGCTCGTAGGTGTAGCCCGTATGTGAAGCTCGTAGGTGTAGCCCGTATGTGAAGCTCGTAGGTGTAGCCCGTATGTGAAGCTCGTATGTGAAGCTCGTAGGTGTAGCCCGTATGTGAAGCTCGTAGGTGTAGCCCGTATGTGAAGCTCGTAGGTGTAGCCTGTATGTGAAGCTCGTAGGTGTAGCCCGTATGTGAAGCTCCATGAATATCCTGTGGGTCGTGGAGAATGTGTCGTGGAGTCCTCATAAACAAAGGCCAAATACTTGTTAATCAAGCCGCCTCCCCCCCCCCCCCCCCAAGCCCACTATCACGTGTTTAAGAATTTATAACCTTCTTTCTCGACGCATAACTAACCTAATATAGCCTTACCTATGCAGCAAATGCTAATATATAATAATAATAATTTTTATTTAAGAAATACATATTTTAATTAAACGGTATGTTAAAGTTGAGGTGAGTTTCTCTTAGATGCTGCTCATTAAACGGTAGGTTAAAGTTGAGGTGAGTTTCTCTTAGATGCTGCTCATTAAACGGTAGGTTAAAGTTGAGGTGAGTTTCTCTTAGATGCTGCTCATTAAACGGTAGGTTAAAGTTGAGGTGAGCTTCTCTTAGATGCTGCTCATTAAACGGTATGTTAAAGTTGAGGTGAGCTTCTCTTAGATGCTGCTCATAAAATATATGGCCTCAGGCGTCTGATTAATGGTCAGGAAACCACGTTGGTAATATCCAGGCAACAATATTATTTATTGTCTGTACAGTGTTTAGATCTACATATTTCTCAATACAACATTCTAAGGAGGATTTAGCTGCCAATAAAACGTCCTTAGGGATTTAGGGAGTAAATCACAACAACTTACTTGCTTTTGCAGGTCTCATGTGTTGTTCTTATTACTTGCTTCTGGCGAAGGTTGTAAATTGGATTATAAGCAAATATACTGTTGACTCCCTTCATTACTTTTAAATCTAATAACAAAATAATGTTTCAGGTATGTGTGTGAGAGTATTAACGGGCCGGTGGCGCTGCTGGTAAGGTAAGGTAAGCACCTGTGGCTGGCTGGCGGTGACCTCCTCTAATACACTATAACTCTTTCATTACTATTGTTTCCATACACCTACTGCAGACACAATTGATTATACATTCATCATTGTTTGAATAGTCTGTCACACTATTTTTAACCCTAACTAACCCAGTCCAGCCAGGCCTAAGCCCAGCCTAGTCAAGGAAACAATACCCAACCCAACCCTGTATTGAGCATTCGCCCAGGAAAAAGTACACCTTAAAGAACGCTATATTGGAAGCAGCGCCATGACGCTCATACTAACGTAATTTACTCTGAAAATATCAGCCGTCCGAATTCAAACGCAGTTTGAAAAAATATGCCACAGGCTTGGCTTGAGCTGCTCCACTGTAGACTGTAATAACACCCGCTCCTGTTGTGACAGAAGCGGTTGGGCCTGGCCACGAATCATGCCACACCGGATGGGATAGGACAGGTGCCTCTCGTAATCAGTTTGGATGTTTGTGACCCGGGTGGGTTTTATCACAGGTGTTAGCTCAAACTGGATAATAGAAGGGATATGAACCCGATAACGTTAGTGTTTCCGGTCAGTCAAGCATATAATCTAGACAGTGTGTGACCTTACAGGTTACCTGTCTCATATTACATAACACCAGGGATTTAATATTACTCTTCCCACGCAGAATATTTGTGCCCGTTATTAAGCCTTCACCTGCACGCTAAATGTTATATACTGTAGACATAACCGTTGGAAATGTGCGCTCTACAGGGCTAATGAACGTCGTGTTTAATAGTAGGTTTGGAAGGTTGGTATAGTTTGGTAGAGTGAGTGCAGTAAGAGCATGCAGTCTGCACGCTTGTCTGGTCGTGATAGCGCCCGGGACGGGGATAAGATATCTTACCTGAAATTCGATTAATATTTAGCTTAAGGTCTCAAGCAAGTCGGCCACTGGAAATATTCAGGCTGAAATCTGTATTATCTGAAACCTTTCATGTGGATCAAAGTCCACATGAAGGTTACATGATCATGAACACTACGAGTAGATGGTGATCATGGTTGTGGAGATGCTGGTCTTGGTTGTGTTCAAACACAGTAGATCATATGAGAGAGAGAAATAGAGCATATATGAGAGAGGAATAGACATATAAGAGAGAGGAACAGGCAGACAAAAACACTGGAGGAGTACAGAGGGGGAGGGAGACATCCACAAGACTGGGTGTCTTGCCCTTGTGTATACCCATACACAAGGGCACAATGATCACTTGTTCATAGTGGTATTTGATGCTCTAAGGTCTCAATGTTTATCTCATTCTGGGTGAAGATCAGGTCCAGAAAACTTTGTGTATCTCCTCGCCGTTCTCTTGTGTCCTCCTTTACATGTTGTGTTAACAAGTTTCTTTCTACAACTTTCACTAATTTCCCCCCCCCCCCCCTCTCCGTTTCTTCCCCACCATGAGGATTTCTGGATTCCCAGTCACTCTCTCCATGGTTTAGGTCCCCCATGACTAACGTTTAGCGCTCATTCTGTGCGTCACTGTTGCTATTCTCAGCAATGCATCTATGCGTGCTTTGTTGTTGGTATATTTATGCCTGAGTCTTCTGTTGCTTGCAAGGGAGTAATAAATTACTAGGACCACTGTTCTTTTTCTATCTGTTATCCCAATGATGGAGTCTGTGTATGCATTTGCATTCTGATCTTTCAGTTCTTCGAACTGCCACTCCCTTTTTACTAGTAGTGCAACTCCTCCTCTTTTCCTTAAGGAAAACATTCATTCAGGCCATTAAAGTAGCCTGCTCTGAGCACTCTAATTTTGTCAAAGTAAACGTGCCGGCCACTCGAGACACTCGATGAAGAGCACCCCGTGCGAGCCGGCGGGGCTAGTTAGCTGTTGGGAGCGTGACAGTAAGCACCAGGCGGTGTACCGTCAGTCCCGAACTGACATCCAACTACCAGCTTTTTAACCGCAACAACTTTAATATATGCTATTGGAGCTGGAATTACCGCGGAGGGAGGTTGTATTAGTCAGGGGGGAACTCAGGGGTGGGTGTGGGCATTGGGGCAAAAGGGGGAAAGAGGGAAATGGAGGAAGAGGTAGGGGGGGGGGTCCCCCCCTGTGGCCCCCTCCCAAGGGTGGGTGGGGGTCACATGGAAGGAGAGGGGATGAGGAGGGGTGAGGGCTGGGCGGGTTTTGGGGGTTGAGGGGATGAGGGGGTCCTTGGAATGTTGGATGAAGCAGATGGATTTGAATGCAGTGGGGTCAGAGGGGTCAGGGGAGGTGTTGGGGAGATAAGCAGGGGCAGGGAGGGCTGATTTGGGGAGGGAGTGACCTGGTTGGCACGGGGTGGGTTAGCACTGGGGTGTGTAACTACGCTCAACTTGGAAGAGTTGTATCGTGTAGGTTTGCTCGCCCTGTGGGCTATCTGTTCCTCTTTCGTCATATATTTATCAATATACACGTTGTAGTAGTTTTCGCTACCTCTGAGTAAGTGTTTGTGATGCAGTATGTAATCCACTGCCTCTTCGTTAGTGAACTGTACCAGGACAGGTCGTTTCCTGTCACAGTTGTATGGTCCAATGCGTCGTTGAACTTGCACCTCATTCCCTGCCATCTGGGCTCTCATGTCTCTCAAGATCCCCTGTAGCTCCAAATCCTCAATCTCGATCCTTTCCTGCCTCGATGGTGCCCTGGCTTCAAGCAATCCATGGATTATGATTGTCCTCTTTCTCAGTGCAGGGTCATGCTGGTGGCCCCCCCCCTGGCTGACCCCCACCCCTCCCACACTCGCTACTCCATCCACTACTACTCCCCCTTCCCCTGCCAAGCTTCCCTTATTCCTGTCAATTTCATTAGTAAGCCTAGTTAATTCTCCTTTCCATTCTACCCTTCCTGATTTCCTCTTGAATATAATCCATAAACTCTTGTTTGAGTCTTTGAACCTCGTTCTGTATCTTATTAAAGATTTCACTTTTAATCCCCTGGATTAGATTATCTATCCAAACATCCCTCTTCTCTACAAATTTCCCAATCATATTCTCCACAAACCTATCTTCTTCCTCAATCATAATACTGCTGGACCTAGACGCCCTTCCTGACCTAGTCATTGCTATAATGCAAACTTACCCACAGGGGTTCCAAGTATCTTACCGTCCTGCTAACACACAATAGGTGAGTGAATCTCCAAGCGTCGTTCCACGTGGTGTTTGGAGGGTTGCTGCCGGGGGTGAGGTCACGGTTAGAGGTCGGTGAGGTCTTCTCCACACTGCACACTGCCACAGTACTTCATCAACTATTTTCAATTACGCTACTTATACTGTTTTTCTTCACTACCTTATGGCTTTAGTCAAAACCCAAGTTTTTTCACTCACTTGTACACACTTTTCCACATCGAAGTAGCCTGATTACCCCTCCCACTCCACTAGTGTACCAGGAGCTCCCAACACACGTCCACCCAACACGATGGTCACAACACAAGTTGTGTGTGTGTGTGTACTCACCTAGTTGTGCTTGCGGGGGTTGAGCTCTGGCTCTTTGGTCCCGCCTCTCAACTGTCAATCAACTGGTGTACAGATTCCTGAGCCTACTGGGCTCTATCATATCTACATTCGAAATTGTGTATGGAGTCAGCCTCCCACATCACTGCCTGTGTGTGTGTGTGTGTGTGTGTGTGTGTGTGTGTGTGTGTGTGTGTGTGTGTGTGTGTGTGTGTGTGTGTGTGTGTACTCACCTATTTGTACTCACCTATTTGTGCTTGCAGGATCGAGCATTGACTCTTGGATCCCGCCTTTCCAGCTATCGGTTGTTTACAGCAATGACTCCTGTCCCATTTCCCTATCTTACCTAGTTTTAAAAGTATGAATAGTATTTGTTTCCACAACCTGTTCCCCAAGTGCATTCCATTTTTCCACTACTCTCACGCTAAAAGAAAACTTCCTAACATCTCTGTGACTCATCTGAGTTTCCACCCATGTCCCCTCGTTCTGTTATTATTACGTGTGAACATTTCATCTATTTCCACTTTGTCAATTCCCCTGAGTATTTTATATGTCCCTATCATATCTCCTCTCTCCCTTCTTTTCTCTCGTGTCGTAAAGTTCAGTTCCTTCAGACACTCTTCATATCCCATCCCTCGTAACTCTGGGACAAGCCTCGTCGCAAACCTCTGAACCTTCTCCAGTTTCTTTATGTGTTTCTTCAGGTGGGGGCTCCATGATGGCGCGGCATACT